CCACAATTCACACCAATTCTGTTTATAGCATAGTGTGGATCATAAACACAAACATTACTTAAAATATAAAAATTAGTGACCAGATGGAACAGATTAACGAGATTCTTAAATTTTGAAGCTTTTTGAAAGGCTTAAATTTTATATTTCATTCCCTGTGAGAAATGCTAACTATCCCCTTAGGAAATATGTTGGAACCAGGTTGCATTCAGTAAAAATCACATTAAGTTGAACTGGGTTTAACCTGTCCTTGCTCAGCACCTGCTCTGTTCACATTTTCTCACGAACAGTTTCTCTTGGGGCTGTTTTATGTATGTTTCTCTGTGTCTTGCTCAAGAGCATGGGTCCTGAAGTCTGACAGATTTTGTTTAAAATCCCAGGTCCATTAATATTGCTAAAATTATGATACTACCCAAAGCGATCTACAGATTCAATGCAGTCCCTATCAAAATACCAATGCCATTCTTTACAGAAATAGAAAAAAAATTCTAGAATTCACATGGAACCACAAAAGACCTCAAATAGCTAACACAATCCTGAGGAGGAACAAAACGCTGGGGGCTGTACACTCCCTGACTTCAAAATATACTACAAAACCATAGTAACCAAAACAGTATGTACTGGTACAAAAACAGACATATAGATCAATGGAACAGAATAGAGAACACAGAGACAAATCTACATATCTACAGCCAACTGATTTTCAACAGAGGTGCCAAGAAAATACACTGGGAAAAGAACAATCTCTTCAATAAATGGTGATCGGAAAACTGGATATTCACATGCAGAAGATTGAAACTAGACCCCTATCTCTCACCACTTATAAAAATCAACAATGGATTAAAGACTTAAATGTAAGACCAAAACGGTGAAACTACTGGAAGAAAATATAGGAGAAATGCTTCAGGACATTGGTCTGAGCAAAGATTTTATAGATAAGGCTTTAAAAGTGTAAGCAACAAAAGCAAAAATATGCAATTGTGGTTATATCAAACTAAAAAGTTTCTGCACAGCAAAGGAAACAATCAACATAGTAAAGAGACAATCTATAGAATGACAGAAAATATTTGCAAACTATACATCCAACAAGACATTAATATATAGAATGTACAAGGAACTCAAACAATTTAACAGCAGAAAAGCAAACAATCTGATTTAAAAATGGGCAAAAGATCTGGTTGCAGTCAGCAGCTAGATGATTTATTTCCCTCTGGACACCTACCCCTGCTTTTGGTGGTCAAGGCCAGTGTGCTCAGCCTACAAGGAGGTCATGTGGCCCCTGCATGACGTTGAAGGGTTTGAATTTCAAGAGACGAACTCGAAGATGGAGGCAGGGCTAGACATGACAGGATATTCTGTAAGTCTTGCTAAGTTTGGCTGCATCCTAAAAACAGAGAAAGACATGTAGTAGTTTGAAGCAGTGGGATGATGTCATCAGCTTCCCAGGAATTCTGACTGCTGTGTAGAGTGGATTGTGTGGGGACAGCCTGAAGCAGGGAGCCTGGTTAGGAAACTCCCTGTGGTCCAGCTAAGAAGCAGTCATGGGCTGGGCTGGGAGAATGGCCATTCAGGGAAGTGAGTGACAGAGCAGGTAATCCCCATTCTATACTTTCCAGGCATTTTAAATCTGTGAAGTAGGTCAGGCTGGTTCTTCTTTGGTTTACAGATCACAGTGAGAGAAAGGGCAGTGACAAAATGGTCCCCAAATATGATATTCCCACATCCTCTATGCAGCCTCACTGAAGGCTGCATGACCTTGGGGGTTAGGTGAATGGTGTCAAGGGCAGTTGCATATGTATTGGTCTCTCCTATCGGATGGTGATCTCTTATTGAGGAGCTTTTGTCTTCACAAAGGTCTGGAACTAAGTAGGTCATGGACTGGTGTCCCCATTTTTGCCCTCATTTTCTGATACCCCAGGGCTTTCCCCCTCCCATCGCATGGTCGTCTCCCTGCCTGGAGTCTCTGCCATTGTCTGCTTCACACATTTGCTTCCTCCACTGGACTCTGAAGGGAGGCTATAGCCTAGTCACTCCCAACTCCTCAGGGCGTATGAATGCTTGCTATGGTTTTATAGAATTGTCACATCACAGAGCCCACTGGTTAAAGTCAGGGGTCCTCTCTGATATCCCCACAGGTGCAGTGCAGTGCAGTGAGCTTCCTGCAGGTACCCTGTCATAAAGTCTCAGTCAGCTCTCTCAAGTGGATCCTTCATCTGACTCTCTTTAGCACACTGTTACTTCTGTTAACCCAGCATTTCCTTCTGTTCTGGCATTATACTTGCTTGTTTGTCTGTTTTACTCACTCAGATATGAAGCCCTTGAGGACGCATGTGTCTGGGTCTTATTCATCTCAACATTCTCCATAGCCTTGAACACAGTGCTTGGCATATAGTAGGTACTTGAAAATGAGCAAATAGATGAGTGAATGAATAAACAAGCAAATGAGTGAATGAAAGAATGAATGAATGAATGAATCAGTGAATGGTCAGCTTTTGTTGTTAAAAAGTCCTTCTTTACCTTCAACTGAAATATGTCTCCTGTTAGCCAGCCTTCTGAGCTGATTCTACTCATTGACTCCACGCAGCACACTCTCCTTTTCCTCGTGGCACCTTCTCATAGAGTGGAGCCTCAGGGTTCTGCTTTCTGTTTTTCGAGCATGCCAACCTGTTCTGCCCAGCTTGACCCCACCTTAGGGCCTTTGCACTTTTGTCTTTTATGCCCAACATCCCTGGCCCTATTGCTTTCCACGGCTGGATCTTCTTTGTCATTTGGGTCTCAACTCAAATGTCACCTTCTCAGAAAGACCTTTACTAACAACTCAATCTGGAGCACCTCTGCCCTCAGCCCTCATATGCCTCTTTATCTCTCTGGCCTGAATTCTGGATGATTTCCTCAGATCTGCCTTTCAATTTACTAAATCTGCCTTCATTTGTGTCTAGTCTACTGTTTAGCTTGCCTGTAGAGATCGTCTATCAGTTATTCTGTTTTTCATTTATAGAACATACATGCAAATATTGTGATCATTAATATTTTAAAGTCTTCTTTTAGAATTCCTATTGCATGACCCTCCCTCCCTCTGCCAAAAGTGATCTATCCTATTTATTGTATCTGATGATTGTCTCTCAGATGTTGGATATCTATAATTCCTGTGATTTTTTTAGATGAAACTTTATCAGAAATTATGATCTTTTAGTGTCCCACATGGGTTTTGCAAGTGACCCTGTGGTACTTATTACTTCTTAAACGTTGTTCCATTAACTTATGGTGAATGCAGCATCTATATGTTATCATGTATAATGTAGGGAAAGAATGTTACCTTCTTGTGTTTGATATCACTCACCTGCTTCTAGTGACATTTACTTCAAGCTTAACTTGTTGCTTTGTCCTCCTAGTGGAGCATCACTGACTGTAGCAGTACCCAGATGCCAGGTGCTTCTGAGCTGAACACGTAAGAGTTCCCCCAGCTTAATGCAGGAGCACGGAACTCATTGGAAATACAGATTTCCGAGACCTGCCTCATGAACACTGAATTCATAAATCTGAGATTGAGCCTAAGAATCAGAATTCTTATAAAGCTCTCCAAGTGATTCTGATTTATATAAGTTTGGATACTAACAGACTTATAAGCTTCGAGGATTTAAATTTGGTTTATTTTTCTCTTGCTTATTCCTTCCCCAAAAAGGATTTGAAGCTGTGTACCTGCAGATAGATAAAAATACATTTTGAAAAGCAGACTAAAGACACCTACATGAACAATGCCCTGAGCAGGTTGGCTTCCTTGCTAACACCCTTGGGATGGATAAGACCACGAGCTGTGTGAGCCATCTCTGCCCAGCTCTGAGACCCTTAGCATTGCAGCAAAGCCTGGCTTGGTGAAATCAGTCATGGGGCAACTGTGGAACTGCAAAGGGATGCTGTGCACAGACAGGGTTTTATTTTTCCTAGGGTTCCTCTCTGCACACTGTCACATTGCTCAGATATGTTTATTAATCTGGCGCATCCATGAAGGCTCTTCTTGGCAAACTGAGCTCTTTAGACCCACTCTGCACTACTCACGCTGTGCTGAGCCCCTCCCAGCCTGTATTCTCCCATACTTCTTGGCTTCTGCCCAAGCTGTTTCCTCTGCCCAGAAAACTCCTGTTTGTCTCCAAGACTGCTCAAATGTCACCTTCTCCAGACAGTCTTTCTTTCACCCTCCTTCATTTTCTTCCTTCCTGTCATTCTTGCAAAATCATTTTTGAGCCCTTACCATGTCTGGAGTCCCCGCCCCCCACTTCTCTCCATGCCAGCATCTGCCATGCTGCCAACTGTCACAGGTTCATCTCCTGCCACATCACTCTTTGCTTCTCTGTTTTCATCACACCGGCTTCTCCTGCTCCCTTGCTCTCTCTCCAGGGCTTTTGCACAGGCTGCAGGCTCCTCCCCTGACACCTGACACTGACTTCTGCTGGCCCCACCTCCAGTGTTACCCCTCCTCCTCTACAGCAGCACCTGCTACCTGCACTTATTTTGTGATTCCTTTGTCACCCTCTGTAACCTGAGGAGGGCAAAGCAGGGCATCCCCCTGCTTAGCACAGAGACTACTACACAGCAGATGCCCAAATGAAGACATCTCAGAGCACCTCAGTTTGTCTCTTTCTCCTTCAGTTGTTCTCAACCTTGTTTTTGCCGTTGGCCCCTTTGAGAGGCTCCTGAAAGCTAGAAACCATCTCTACACAATGTTCATGAATGCTTAGTTACATAAAATTTCCATATCATTTCAAGGGTGTGAACCCCCCCAAATAAAGAGAGCATTATCTAATAATTCCAAGCTAAGATTCTTTTCCGGAGAGCAGCTGATAATTGCATGATAGATACTCTGTGATATAAGTCCACCACATACGGAGTTTAAAGTGGGTCTCCCAGTGATGTAAAGGCGTGTGTGTGTGGATGGCTTCATGTGGAAGCCGCACTGGTTGCTATGTTCCCTTTAAGAACCGGTTTCCCTGATTTTGTCATTGCAGGAAGGAAGACAGCACAGGGGCAAACACAGCAAGTTGGAAAATACTTACATCCTTCTCAACTGACCGACACGGCAGAGGTGGCCTATGATTTATGATCCTTTCCAGTGAGCCAAATTATAAGCCAAGCAACCATCTTCCTGTCTCAGGTCACGAATAGGGAATATTTCTACTCTGTATGATACCAACCTGAGGACCCAAGAGATGGCTGTTGACTGTAAGAAGCCCATATTTATTGCCATGGGTGAGTGGCAGGAAGCCGGGTCTGGAGTCCCAAGGACCTGTCGGTTCTGCTGCTCCTACGCTGGGTTGCCATGCACAGATAACTTACCTTCTTCCAACATCCTCTTCTTCATCCGTTTGAGGGTCATATGCCTACTTGACAGTTTTGCCCTGATAGCCAAATGAGCTAATGGCTGGGAAAGTGCCTGAACACTGTAAGATTCTTCCCACGTGTCAGGGTCCTTGTTGTGTTGGTAAAATGCAGTTCCTTCATCTTAGATACTTCACTGACGGTTGCCCTGGAGCACACTCTAAAGCAATCAATCAAGGACTCATTGATTTACCGTTCTGCATAGCTTCCATCCAAAATGGGTGATGAGGGGATGATAGGATGACGGTTTTAAAAAATCATTGTAGTAGTTATCTTGATATTATAGAGCTCCTGAAGAAGCTTGGACTAGGATGGAGTTCCCAACCTGCACAAAAAGTTGTATGCATGTGAACTCTTTCCTAGGGAGAAGGAGCATGGATTTCATCAGATTTGCAAAGAAGACTGGTAGACAAGCATCCAAGGAGCCAAGCCCCCTAGTCTAGGCAGAAAGGACTGTGTCCGGAAACCCAGAGACCGACTCTGCCTCCAAATTGCTGGTGACTTTAAGGCTGTCCCTTGGCCTCTATCCACCCCAGCTCCTTATCTGTAAAATGGGTGTGGCACAGTATTCCAGTTGCTAAGTTCCTACTGAGGGGCAGGCTCTGGCCACACCAGAAACTTCCACACCCAGCCTTCTTGCTTCCAGAGTAAGCGAAGAGCTCTTCTTCTCTCAGCTTGTGTCCATGAGTTGCGCCCAACTGACCACGGCACCCCAGAGTGCCCAGGCACGCAGCCTTACTTCAACTCCTTTCGCTCTGCAGTTAAAAAGCATCGCGGCCCAGTTGCTGTGCTTGGACCCAGGGAGTCTGCTTCCTCTGACACCATTTCCCTGTAAACTGCAGGGCTGTGAGACCTGCTTACACTGGCAGCCAGGGGCCGACAGGGACCTGTGAAATCTCAGCATCGCCCAGGAAGATGCAGTGAAAATCCAGCTGTTGAGTGGGGAAACGTCAGTGAGCCGCAGGTTTTCCTGCCCTGGCTGCTGTGAGACAGTGGGCGGTGCCCGGAAGTCAGGCCTGGTGGATGGAGTTGGCCATGGGTGTCCCAGGTCTCCACAGAACCTGGGGCCGTGGTCAGTGCTGGGTGAGCAACAGGCAGGCCCCACATCACATTACAGACCTTAGAGAGTTTCCAGTCCACAGCGGGAACTGGCAGCCCTTGCGCCAGATTTGGCCCACAAATGTGTCATGTTTGGCTTACATTTTATTTTTTTCTAATTGTGAATGTACTCCGTGCCACTGAGCTGGATACTTAAAAATAGTTCGGAAGGTTCGTTTCTCTAAAACTAAAACGTATCTTCTTAATCATTTTTAAGTATCCAGTTCAGTGGCACGGAGTACATTCACCCTGTGGCGCAACCATCACCATCATCCATCTCCAGAACCTTCTCATCTTGCAAACTCAGAAACACCATATTCATGAAAGACTCACTCCCCATTTCCCTGTCCCACAACCGCTGGCACCCACCTTTCTGCTTTGTGTCTCTATGAATTTGACCACTCTAGGACCTCGTGTGAGTGGAATCATACGGTCTTTGTCCTTTCATGACTGATTTCACTTAGCACAATGTTTTCGAGGTTCATGTGGCAGTATGTGTCAGAGTTTCCTTCCTTTTTAAGGCTGAATAATATTCCGATGTGTGGATGGACCACATTTGGTTTATCATTCACGCATTGAGGGACCTTTGGGTGGCCTCTACCTTTTTGGCTATTGTGAATATTGCTCCTATGAACACAGGTGTACAAAAACCTATGTTGCATTTTTTAACATTGGAGTTAGCAAGTGACATTGAAAAACCAAGAGATTTCATATACAAATCTGGATTTCTGGCTTCTCTTGGAAAATCAGTGGATCTGACAGCACTGGGCCTCGATCTTCCTGGCCACAGTCAAAGGTAAATGAAGCCAGCTCGCTCCCTCCCCCGCTGACAGGCACCCCACCCAGTGGACTGCAGGGCCCCCGCTCCTTTCCTCTCCACTCACTGCAAAACCTGCCTGGTTTCCACAGGCTGTGGCTTGGTGACACCTCGTCTGCCCAGCACCCTCACGTTATGGGTGAAAATGCAGAGGCCCAGGGAGGACGGGTGGCTGTGGCCTGAGGTCTCACAGGCCAGGAAGTGGTACAACTGCCGAAACGCAGGAAGGGCCTGCAACTGGGCATTGCAAAGCCTTGATTCTACTTCCAACTCTGCCACCTGCTTGTCCCAGGTCCCTGGGACAAAGCCCTGAAACTTTCTGAACCTAAGTTTCCTCTTTGGAGGAAAATGGGAGAAATGGCACCTTCTCTTGCAGCCTCATGAAGTATTGTGAAGACAGAAGGAGATGATGTGCATTGGCCATCGAACGCAGTTGGGATGGGAAGGGGTGTTACTAAAAGCACAGGCCACGTCAGGCAACCTAGCGTCTGGGGGTCTGTTTTCTCATCTGCAAGACAGGAAAAGGGGCCATACCTTTCCCCACTGGGCTATTCCAAGGATTAACTGAGGCAGGGAAGGAAAAGCATCTGGCGAGGGCTTGGCACCCAGCAGATGCTTCATAAATGCTACTTTTTAACAAGTAAGGTCACATCCAAGGGTTCCAAATCCTCTTCCTGCAGAACACAACCCGGAAAGAGGTGTAACATCATAGGAATGACCAGCTTCAGAGTCTATTGGCCTGATTTCAAAACCTAGGCTTGATGCGTTAGCCACTGAGGGCACTGGGCAGGTGAGCCCATCTCTCTGACCTGCAAACTCTTCCATTGTTTAGTGGGGAAAATATCACTGTCCTTGACAGCACAGGGAGAAATGAGAAATGGAAGGCGCTTTGCACATAATAGACATTTAATAAAGTCGAATTCCTTTCCTTGCCTTCCCCAGCAGAAATCTGTTTTCTAGGTTAAAAAGATGGCATGTTTTCCAAATATCTTCAAAAAAAGGAACAGGGAAAAGTGTGGTTTCCAGCATCCCACTGAGGCTTGTCAGTCATCAGGTTTCATTCACTCATTCAAGGAACAAGCATTGATTGAGCACCACTAAGCGCCAGGTGCCACAGTAGGCCCTGGGGTTCTAGGAGAGAACAGAGTAGACCAAATTGCTGCCCTGGTGGGTGGGCCTCTGCGTAAGTCTGGTCAGTCGCTCTATGAGTACTCATTAAGTGCCTCTTCTGAGCTGCCTTTCTAAGGGCCCTGGCTTTACCTGGAAGGCTCATCTGTTGCTGTCTGTGTGATTCCTGCATATCTGGACCCCACCCACTTCTCTGCCAGTACCAGAGAACATACCTGTCTTGGGCCCCAGACCTTTAGACAGCATGGTGATTCTGCCTGCCTGTGCTGCTTCTGTTATCCCCTCAGTCCTTTCCAGGGTCCCTGGGCAAGGCCGGTGAAGCACTCCTGGGGTGAACACTCCATTCAACTGCACACAGGACACCCTGTGGGCCAGGTGTGGGCCCCAGAGAGCCTTGCCTCTTAGTTTACCTTTAGGCTTTGAATGAAATGGGAATATGGATGGAAAGCTCTTCGTAAGATCTACATGTATATACAGGATTGGTGTTATTTGACTTTGATCTAGAGAGATGACAGAGACCACCTGATGTAGGAGAAAGAGGTTAGGGTTTGAGACCAGCATAGTTAGGCTGCAATCTGGGTTCTGCAACTTATTAGTTCTGAGACTAGGGAAAGTGGCCTGCCCTCCTCAGTTTACTTGCTGGGCAAATGGAGGTAATAAGAGACCCATCTCGGCACCTACTGTGCGCAGTAATGGAAAAACTGGTTGGGAAGGCATTTTGCAGACTTACATCTTATGCATATACTCTACTCATGTCATTAATTTAATGCACATTTATTATACACCTACTGTGTGCCATTGTGAACAAGGTGATCTGTCGTATGACAATTCGGAAGAAAGTCCACAGGCTAGGGAAGAGAAGAAATGCTTGTCAGATGGTGGCACCGCACATTCATAGATTATGATTAGCAACAGCCAGCAAGTTGGCATGGCAACGTTTCCCCGTGAACTGCTAGGCACTGTTCTTAAAATAGGTATGTTGGAGGTGTGGCGGCAGCGGGGACACGCTGAGGTAGTGTGGTTTGATTGCTCTGCAGACCAACGTGGGCTGTGTGCTCAGAGTGGCCCTGCCATTACCCTTCCCAGGCAAGCCAGTGGGGCAGTGATTAAGGTGGCAGATCCAGAAACATCCACTGTTGGAGTTGGAGACAGCCTCAGATTTCATCTAGTGTAAGCATCCTTCTCCTCCCCATTTTACAGGCGAGGAAACTGATTCCCAGAGAGGTTACCTGACATCTGCGGTCCAGTGACAAAACCACTTGACTGCAGATGGGAGTGAACCTGGGTTCGGATGTCATTAGGCAGTATTCTCCAACCGTGCCATGGGGCAGGCTCTTCTGATTCAGAATTTTAGGTCTTGGTCTGATGCAATTAATTTTCTACTGGGTTCCAATCTATATGACATCATCTAGCAATAGATATTAGTTTAAGGAATTCTTTCATTTTGTGTGGAATTCATGCCTGCATTTCACCCTGGGGAAGCCCTGAATCCTAGGATATCTTGGAAACTCACCTACTTTTTGGCTAGACTTGATTATATACATGATTGAGCTTTCAATCCACCCTTCCATAGCCTTCCTTACCTAGTTTCTCCGTGTGAAATCAAGCATCAAAACTGATCAAAGGTTTCTGAATTGCTTTGGAATGAGATGATTATATGAGCTTAGTTACCCATCATTGCAGAGAACAGGGAACCCAAGTCCTTTTACAGATGAGGTCCTTTCTATTTGTTTTACTCAGCAATTTATTGAGTAAACTTTTGTAAACTTGAGAGGGGCTTTTCACTTTCAGGCTGGTGAGCTTTTTTTTAAGAGATTCACAGCTCCCCTTTGATTCCAGGGTGAAATTCTAGGTTTGAAATGTGAAACCTTCTGAGAACTCAGCCAACTTCTGAGAATAGGGTGCTAGACATTTCTGACATGTTTTAGACACAATCTTTTTTTCTCTGTTGAGACAGTGCCATTCGTTGGGAAGGACTCTGGGCTGGGAGTCCAGGCAGGGTAAGAGGGGCTGCAGCCCTGCCACTTACCCCCTCCAGGTCATTTGAAGGATGTAAAGACTGCATTCTGTAGTGGTGATTCTTCACCCTGGTTGCATGTTGGACTCATCTGCAGAACTTTTAAAAAATCTGACGCCCAGGCCTCTCTCCAGGCCACTTAAATCAAGTTGTATTGAGTGGGGCCCTGGGCAGAGATCTATTTGAAAAACTCCCCAGTGATTCTAATGGGCAGCTGGGGGTGAACCATGGGAATACAGTCACATAGTCTCTTTCCATTCTCCCATTCCCTGTGCTAATTAAGTTCTAAAATACTACTGTGGTTTCTTCTGTGTTAGACTCATATTTATTTATACTCATGGCTAGGAAAGAAATGTGCCCTCAGAGTCGACAGGAGGAAGCTTCTTATCTTTGGAGTATTTTTGACCGTGAGTTGGCTTTGTAACTCTACCCTCAGAGGGCCTTTTAAACAGCTGATGTTTCTTATGGAAATGAAATGTGTGATGTGTTACTGCATTAAGCTCCCGCAGAGACTGGAGCTGAGCTCTTGGTGACTGGTCACTGCACAATTCCATGAAGGTTCAGATAATATAATTGGGTGGTACAATAGACACACTAAATGAATCTCTTGGATGCAGTTGTTTGCATCCTAAACTCCAGAATATCCAGAAAGAGATATTCTGTGATAGATATATCTACCAGTTGGGTAAGCAAACAAAAGTAGATTTATCTTTGGCATGTGCACCAATGGCCAACTGTGTTCCTACTTGACTTTGAAATAAATTATCTGGTGCCTTAAGGTGGTGTAGAAGGAAAAAATCCGTGGGGTTTGTTAATGTATTCAGTCCTCTTCTCTGTATTATGGGAATTTCTAAAAACAGATAATTAGTACCTTGGACCTAAAACCGCTTTCAAGAACTCAGTAGACTTGGGATTGAAGGATTGGGTTTTCTCTTTCCAGTGTGAATTTCCCTAAATCCTACTCTGGCTTCAGAAAGCACAGCTCCTATACAAGCCTGACTTCTGCATCCTTAGTGTAAATGTAATGTCTTAAGTCATGGAAAGACTAATAGAAGAATTGATAGCTCAAAAATGAGTTTTTTCCAACACATTTTTTTTTTGTCTCTGAAAACACCAGCAGGCTGTGTCCAAGCATGGGCTGATGATCCCTTTATGTGATGACAGAACGAGGGAAGAGAGAGACAAATGAATGGGATTGTTAAAAATGGTGGAAAACTTGATATCAACTTTGAGTCAGTAATATAATATTTGTAAATAGGACATTGAAAGTGATGGGGGAAATAAATGTCTATGCAGTGACATTATAACCATTAATTCTTTAGTGGACAAGGACAAGGTCTGCACCTAACAGAAGTAGGAGAGTGAGTTATGGGGCCAGACACATGACAGCTCTGCCACCGACTAACTGTGCAAGCTTGGACAGGGTACCTACCTCTCTTAGCCTCAAAGTCCCCCATGGAAATAGTGGGTAAGGTGTGGGAATTAAAGAAATAGCACGTTTCTTAAAGCATTCATCATGTCAGTGGATGCTGGGAGCCTTCCCTCACCCCTTTGAAAATGGGCTCTGCACAAACACATTTTGGTGGGAGGCTGGGTCCTATCCTACCAACCTGAGTTGGGGGAATAAGATGATCTCTTCGCAGTTCAGGTTTGCACAACCAGCTTTTGCAGGGAAGGCAGGGAAGAGGCGTGGGTGTCATTGGCAGAGGGATAAGAAAGGCTGGCAAGTTCATCTTGGTGGTCTCCTTAGTTCTTCCAGGTTAAATCCTGGACAGAAGTCACATGAAAGCTGTGAAGCACAGACATCAGTTTAGAAATTGTGTACTTTCCTGCTGAATCCCAAATGCACAATAACTCTATACCTTGCGGTTGCATGAATCTACAAGGTCTCCTATGCGTCCTCATTAATAAACTCAAGGCTGAGAATTTTGGCAGGCCAAGTCCTGCCCCTCCCCAGAGTGAGCTGCCTTGGTTCACATGGGAGTGGTCCAGCGACACGACCCGATGCCTCCCCTCCGGAAGCTCTTCAGCAGGACCTGCCTCGGGTCCTGGGGCAGCTGTCCTCCGATGCCTGCCTGCAGTGAAATCATCAGTCCATGGAGATGTTCACTGGATTCCCGACCAGTTGTGGGTCGGGCTCAACCCTCCCTTTGGGTTTTCAGAATTTGTAATGATCGCTCCATTTGTGTAAAATAGGCCGGCATTTTCTCTTGTTACTGAGATGTATTTTTCTATGTTAGTTAAATGTATAATTTGTGTAATTTTGTACATTAAAATGTATGCTTTTTCACAATTAAAGGGTTTTTTTTTCCCTTTTGAATGTTTTATTTATTGATGGTTTGTTACCAAGTGTTGTCGACCCTGACGTAACATAAAAAGGCAATGGAGCTAGGAGTCCCTTGATTTTTGGTGGGGAATAAATGCTTTTCTTGATACTCAAATCCACTTTACACAAATAATTAAATGATTTCCTTTATAATCCATTATATATCTGTAGTAATTTCTGATTGCTGCTTTGACAGATGACCATGAACTCATTGCCTTAGAACAACTCACATTCATTATCTTATAGTTCTGAAAGTCAGAGTCCCTGGGCTACAACCGTTGGCAGGGCTGCTTTCCTTCTGGAGGCTCCAGGGAGAAACTGTTTCCTTGCCTTTTCTGGCTCCTAGAGGTGCCCACATTCTTTGGCTTGTGGTCCCTTCCATCTTCTTCAGATCTCTGTCACTCTGACCTCTGCTTCTGTTCTCTGATCTCCTGTTCTCAGACTCTGACTCTCCTGCCTCTCTCTCACTTAAAAGGACTCTTGTGATGACACTGACTCCACCAGGTGATCCAGGATGATCTCCACATCTTAAGGTTCTTAAGCACAGCCATCGAGTCCCATGTGCCATGTGGAGTAACATGGGTGGGTAGTAATTCTAGGGATTCAGGTGTGGGCATCTTTGAGCATCATTATTCTGCCCACCACAGTTCTCATATGTACTGATTTGGAGGCCACAGAAAAAAGCAGACATTTAAAAATCAAATGAGCCTGCATTTAAACTGCATCTCTGTCCCTTGCTGGCCATATAACCAAACAGTTTGTTTAACTTCTCTGAACATCTCTTCTTATATCTGAGATGAGGACAATAATCCATTACTATATACCTAATGATAAACTACAATCCCCTTTCCTTCATTGCTTGAAAACATTCTTTTTGCAATGAATTAATTTTTTGTTTGTTTGTTTGCCAAAACAAAATCCACATCGGACCTGAACTGGCCTCTTGTCCTCTCCCATCTGACATGTCCCTTTCTGTTCTCTGCCATCACCCAGGAAGAAGGTTTCATGTCTGACAGGATGAGCTCAAGGTTTGTCCTTCGCCAAATGTAGTGGTGTAATTCACTTATAAGAACTTCCCAGGAGGACTGGGAGCAGTTGAGGGATGGGTTTGGGGATGGGGAGGTCACAGTTGTCATCAGGATGGGGGCAGTTTTCTCAGATATTGCCTTTGTTGGTCCCTGGCAGATATTGCTCCTCTCTGTCTCCCTGCAAGCTGGAGGGTGCATTTCCAACCTTATACCCTGGGTTTTGTTTCCTACCTCCCTTTCTCTGTTGCACTTGGGTTACTGACCTTGAGATGAGATGGTGTGGAAAAAACTCAGACAAACCTGAGTTGAAATCCCAGCTTAGTCACTTCCCGGTGGTTAACTTGAGCAATGGGCTTAAGGTTTGTCATCCTCAGCACTCCAGCCTGAAGATGGAGGTGGCCTGGTTCGCCACGTGGGGCTGTCTGAGGAATCCAGCAGTGTATAAGGCAGAGCATGATGTGCAGAAATGACCTGTGTGTGCAAGAACCCTTATGCACAGTAGGCAGCTTCAGGAGGGTCTGATTGCTTCCTCTGCAGGGGGAGAACAGAGTGAGAGGAAGGGATATAAAGTCAGTGACACACAGTGGGCGCCACAAAGGTGTGTTAGATGAATGTCGAATGATTCGTTGCCCAAGACTGCATAGAAAACAGGATTCTAACTCAACCACCTAGACTCTTCTGCCGAAACCAGGTCCCTTTATCTCTTATCTCCCAGTGGGATCACCTCAGTCAGGCTCTTGGGGAGAGGAAAGGGTAGTTGTTTCGATGTGGACTCTGGCACCAGACTACTCTGTTTAAACCTTGAAGTCTTACTTGCCAGTTATGACCCTGGACAGGTTATTTATGTCTCTGAACCTCAGTTTTCTCATCTGTAAAATGAGGCTAAAATGGTACTTTCAAGGTTGCTGCGAGGCATAAAAGAGTTACTATCTGTTAAGTGCTTACAATGGTCCGGGCACATAGTAAGCTTTCTATAAGCTGAAGCTGTGAAGATCCTTTCCTGCTTCTGCATAAAGTCAGCCCTTTCTCAGCTCCTTCCTTGTGTCACTCCCTCTAGTCTTGGCAACTGCCCAGCCCTTTCTCACAATGGAAAGTGTTTTCTTTAAAAGCAGTAAGATTTCCATCACCACCAGCAAAGCCTGAGAAACCGTGTCCTCAAGATGTTGAGAGCAGATTCAAGCATGCAGTAGGAGGCCTGGCCTCCAAAGTTCCGCCTAACTCAGATTCTTGAGTTTTCTGATATTTCTCTGGGTTATGTCACCCTGAACATTTGTGGGGTTTTAGAAGTTTCTATGTGGTCTTCAACATGAATTGTTCTTGCCTGGAATGGGCTGAGAATAGTATTTCACCAGAGAAAAATTTTCATTGAAAAAATCGAAAACACTTACGTGATAGCCTGGAGGCCAACAGGCCTCAAGAGGAGTGCCTGTGGCAAATCTGCACAGTGGACCCAGGAACACAAGGAAAGAGGAGCCAGGATGCGGCTGTGGTGGGTGGAAGGCAGATGGAGGCTGTGTGTGGAACTGTCTATTCTCGCATTCAGCACTCTCCCCCATTAGAGTATACACTTGTTGAAGGCAGAGACTTAGAAATACTCATCTGTGTCCCCACACTAGCTTCTCTCTCAAGCAAAGAAAAAGAACTTGCTAAATTCCCACCAAGTGGATGAGCCCACACTCTAGGCCTGGCTGAATCTCCTTGAGGTTGAGGCCCTGAGGGAGCCATTTCACATCTCCCCTCCTGTTTCCTCTTCCAACAGTGGGCAGGTAACAATACCTACCTTCTGCACAGACCCCTTGGTGCAGGGTTGAAAGACAGTAG